GACCGCGGGGAGTGGCACCAGCGATATGTTGGGTCTATGCCTTTGGGCGTCGTGGTCGATCCTCCCGGGCGAGGGTCCAACGGCCGCCGGAGCGGAGACACATCAGTATTAGAAAGGGGGAAAGAAATAGCAAAAACGGTGGGAAAAAAGGGGGACATGTGTAAATAAATACGGTTTTTGTTTTTGGATTGTGGATCGTTTTTTTTTCTTCTTTTTAGATACGACTGGAAAGAGTCTTCGCCCAGCTGCAGTAGCGTAAATGATTGCGCTTTTTGCTCGTGTCCTCCTGGTTTATTTTCTTTTTGGTTGACCTGTTTTTTTAAAGATGCTGCGTTGGGAGGCGACGAAGGAAGTTTCAGGAGCATTCAAGGATGATGGTCGGTGCCCCCCCACCACTTAGCGCGGGAATGGACGGGGTCCTGCGCATCGTTTGCGGTGGCGCGTCCTCCAACACTTGCCACGTCTGAGTGGTTTTGACGTCGTTGTCATTTTCCACCGGCTTCCACGCGCTCCCATCACTGCCCCATCTGCACATGCACCTCATCTCTTTGGACTTTGAAGGCCCATGTCTGAAGAAAAAGCGGCACTACAACAGCTTCGCCACTCCCTGCTTTCTCTCCGCAGACAAAGTAGTGGAGGACTTGGAGCAAAACAAATGCATCACATTGAACCAAGACGTGGCGGGGCTGAAACGCATGGAGGAACAGGGATTGCGTTGTCTGTGGTGCGGCCGTGACGAGACGGGGATGCCGCAGCTGAAGGCGCATCTGCGCACGTGCCCCAAGAGTCGCGCCTTTTCTGCAGCAGCTGGCGCAATGTGATCAGTTGGAAGGCGCAAAGACTGGCCACGTCGACTTGTCTTGGGGCTTCAGCGGGGAGAACCACAGGCAGGAATTGCGAGTGTCCTGCCGCCAATCAGGTGTGTGTGTGTGTGGTGGCTGATTTTCTTGGTGCGTGTTGACGCCAAGAGTTACTGCTACTGCGGCTGTGAGGCGGGGACGTGAAGGGTTTGGGCCGTTTCTTATGTCTTCCCGTTTTTTTTTTTCGTTTCGTTTTTTGTTTCGGGCGTACGCCATCGCAGGTTTTAGGAGGAAAGGAGCGTGCGTGTGCGCGTGTCCGTGTGTGTTCCTCCGTCCCCACACCCACCTCGTCTCCTTCTGTCCGCCAGCCTCGCCGCCTGTGCGTGGGCCGTCGCAGCGGGCGCATGCAGCCGCGGAGCTCCGTGTTTCGCCACCGCGCTCGGCTGCACGAGGAGGCGGAGGCCGGCCGCGCGAAGGGTGGCGTAATCAGCGAGGCGACGGAGGAGGAGAATGACGAGCTTATGCGTGCGCTGCTAGGCGACGTGCGCTCCGTCCGGCACAAATTCACCGCGATAGGGGAGGAGGTGCGGCGGCACAACACGCTGCTGGACACGCTTGACGCGGTTTTTGGCCGCACCCGCGCGCGTCTCGGGCGGACACTGCGGCAGTTGGATGTGGCGGGTGTGACGAGCGTCACGCACATGTGGGTGCTGTTTGTGTTTGTTCTCGTCTTCTTTTTGTTGGTGTACGCCATGTTGAAGCTTCATTGACATCGCCCACCTGCTTGTGGCTGCTGTGCCCAAATGTCCCCCCCCCCTCATTCACTCAATCACTCGCGATGGCGCTCTACACGTACGAATGCAACGCGGCTGTTCTCCAGAGCTCACACGCACGCTTGCCTGTATGCACGTTTCTTCCCTTTCATTCTTTTTTTTAAAATTTTGCCTCTGGCGGCCGACAGTGAAGATAAACACACAAACATAGAAAAGTAAAACGCTGAGCGCGCTGCGTCCATTCAGTAGCTGCATTAGTAGTAATAACAAGTGGTGAAGGCTCCAGCACAACGGTGTCAACGAAACTTGAGGCTGCCACTATTCAACTGCAACCAACTGCAACAACAACGGTATTTAACAAAGAAACAAATAAGCAAACATAAAGAAATAGCTTGAAGTCGAGGGGTCTGCTGGTGGAAAGTACACTGGAAGGAAGGAGGGGAAAACAATACAAACACAACAAGAAGAACAAAACGTGATATATATATATATATATATATATATATTGGACAAAAGGAAGGCTAGGAAGAGAGCGAAAGAGGGAGAGAGAAGGGGTGGTTGGGAAGAAGAGAGAGAATTGCCAAGTGGAGGGGTAATAATATATATTGCCTTAAAAAACGGGAACAAGGAGAAAGGGACGGTTAGGAAGACAAGAGAAAAACAACAACAACAACAACAACAACAACAACAACTACTACTACTACAACTACTACATATATTTTTTTTACGACTTTTTACAAGAGACCGTACGGGTGCGTGAGTGTCTGTCTCGGATAAGCCTTTTGTCAACACAATGAAGTGTTTGTGGTTCTCTCAGTTCAGGGCCTTCCTCTGGAAGGTTTTTTTGCAGCATTGGAGAGCCCCGGTGTCGACCCTCACCGAGCTGCTTCTGCCATGCGTCTTTATGCTCTTCCTGGCGTCGAGCTACTGGTGCTCCACAGCAACTGAGATACCCGCCACCGATAATTCCGCAGATAAAGTGGTGGATATGTCATTTTTTTTTCCGACGCAATTTTGTCAAAATATTTCAAGTCCACGTCCGTTTGGCCCCCGCTTAGGAATCCCTCCTTGTAAGCCGAACGTGCATGGCGTGATGTGTTTCACGTTTGTGCGGAACGGGGCTCTCTGCGTGAATAAAATTTCATCTATGCCATACGTTATGCAAAGGATATATCGCACTAAAGGCCCTGTTCGAATTCCTACCCTTGACGCCTATCTTGCATTCTCTGCATATACGTCGTACGCGTCAAAGCGAGAAAATCCGTCGTTTTTCGTCCGCGGGGGGCTTGCGAGTATGTCACACTACGGACACCTGCTGCTGGCCGGGACGGGGAACGACACATCCCTTGCCGCCATGTTTGCCAGCTACTGCAGCGAGGTCAGTGCCCTCTGCCGCGAGGTGGTGTACAGGGATTGCTTCTTCACCTCGATGGCTGAGGCGCAGAAGTTTGCCAGGGAGCACGACAACGAAGTCTGGGCCATTGTGGAGCTGCCTCCCCCTTCCCCTGCGTCAGCGGCCGCAAAGGACGAGGCAACTATATTCTCCATTAGCATGAACTACACTGCCACCCCATCGACGTTTGCGAGAGATATGAAGTTCAAGGACTTGGATAGTACAGAATATGCGTTGTACATCACAAGTGGCTTTATGACGTTGCAGAATGTCGTACAGCAGTTCTACATAAAGCATCGTCTTGAAAAAGCGTGGACGTTGTCCCCATCTGTGAAAAATAGTTCCGACATTTTGGAGTACGTCAACCTTGAGGGAATTCCCCTAATCCCAATGCCGACGCCGCCGCACGTGAAAAACAGTTTTTACGATGATTGGGTGTACTTCATGCCGCTTGTGGCGGTGTTTGCCGCCATTTTTCCCGTCACGAAACTTGTGAGTTGGATTGTTGAAGAGAAGTTGCTTCGAATTCGCGAAGCCATGCAAGTTATGGGGCTTCGCTGGTCATGCATGGCACTTGGATGGTTTGTCTCTGCCTTTTTGATGAATATTATGGCCTCGTTGCTTGTCGCCGTGATTTTACGGTTCAGCTTTTTTCACTTTGTGCACTTTGGTGTGTTATTTATGCTCCAGTTCAGCTTTATGCAGCAGAACACTGCCCTAAGCCTGCTTTTGAGTACCTTATTCACTAATCCCCGGGCTGCCTGTGCCGTGGCAGCGCTGTGCATCTTCGTATGCAATACGCCGTACTATTCTCTTCCCGCTTCCGCGAGCATGCCGTGGTTACTTTCGATGAGTTTTCTCCCTTGCTTCGCCTACGCAAAGGGAGTTGATATCCTCTCCAAGTACGCCGCCTCTGGCTACACATTCTCCTGGAAAAATGTACATGAAGGGGAATACAACATTGCATTGGCGATTGGACTGATGTGGGCATCATCGGGCATTATGTGGATTTTTTGGTTGTATTTGGATCAGGTGCTATCGTCTTTGGGTGGCCGCCGCCGGCATCCCTTGTTTTTCATCTCATGGTTTTTTGGGCTCTTTTCTTGCTGCGGCCTCGGTGACCGCGGGGATTCTGAATCGAAGAAGCGTCTTTTGCTGCGCCATTCGATGACGACACCCTCTCGTGAGCCTACGGATGGTTCAGTGGAGAGGCCTCTCCCGCATGGCGGGACGTCTGCCAGAGACGAAAAGAGGGCCCCTGCGGCACTATTTCGTAACTTATTCAAGGTGTATCACACTGGAGGTCTGATTGGATGGCTGTACTACTTCATCACGGGGCTTCGCCGCGATGGGGATTACTGCGAGGCGCTGCGCGATGTTTCCTTTCAGCTGGACGTTGGAAGTATAAATGTGCTGCTCGGCCCCAACGGTTCTGGCAAGACAACCCTGATGAGTGTTGCGGCTGGTATGGTGACACCCACGCGTGGTGAGGTCTACATCTGCGGCTACAACACCAAAAATCAGCTTGAGAAGTGCCAAAGGCACATTGGATATTGCCCACAGTCGGATATTGTGTGGAACAGCCTTACAGTGGAGGAACACCTCACCTTCTACGCCCGCATGAAGGTTCATCAGGGCTGGGATGTACGGAAGGATGTGGATGCCATCATCGCCAGTATGCAGTTGGAGGAAAAACGCCACACCATTGCAAAGAACCTCTCTGGAGGTCAACGGAGGCGCCTGTGCGTTGGCGTGGCTCTTGTCGGACACCCCAATGTGCTCTTCCTTGACGAGCCAACATCTGGAATGGACATGCGGGGCAGAAAGGCGGTGTATGATGCGCTTCAGAAGAACCGTGAGACTTGCACTGTGATGGTTTCAACTCACTTGTTGGACGAGGCGGATCGTGTGGGGGACAGAATTCTCCTCATGCAGGATGGTGCCCTCCGTGGTGCAGGATCTTCCTTGTTTTTGAAGTCAAAGATGGATGTTGGGTATGTTGTGACTTGTGTGGTGGACGCCTGTTCCTCGGAGATGGAAGAAAATATGTGTATTAGCCGTCTTACGGAGTTTGTACGCAACAAATCATTTCCCGGACACTCCCACACGACGTCATCGGAGCTTCAGCCCATTTCCAGGCACTGCAAGTTGTTGGGGATCGAACGCCGCGGCCGCGAGATTATGTTTCGGTTTCCGTTGTCGCTGCTCTCCTCGTCAGGGAGCACCATCATCCGTGAACTGGAGAGTCAGCGGAAGGAGCTGCGTCTGCGCAGCATAGGCCTGAGTCTGACGACACTGGAGGACGTGATGAACTCGCTGACGTCAAATAAGCAGACATCGATGGGCATGCAGGCTGCGGCGGCATCGGCACCACACAGCGTGACGGAGCACGGAATTTCCATCCAGGTGGAAGGCTCTACCGATCAGGCGGCGCAGACGGTGGGCACGGCCGTTGGTTGTCCTGCTAGCACACACCAGGGCGGCAACCTTGGCGCAGCGAACGATGAGGCGCATAATTTGAACAACATCGATGAGTACGACAAACATCGTGGACAGTCTTTTGCCCGACACTTTGCCGTGCTTTTTATGAAGCGCATGCACTGCGCTAAGCGAGACGTTCGGCTTCTCATTTTCCAGATCCTGCTGCCCGTGATCTTTCTTTCTCTTGGGCTCTTGACAGAATTTATGAGTCCGCAGGACCAACCAGCACTCACCCTTGACGCCTCACTTTACGCGGGTTACGAGACCCCGCCGTTCTCAGCTGTCCCGTGGTCAGCGTCATCGGTGTTGCCAGACGCATTTGCGGTGGAGCGAAGTGACACAACGGGAGCTTTTGGGCCGTATTACACGCCTGTTAGGGTAAACTGTAATGCGACAAATTGCGTTCCCCAACTCTCTGCCGCGATGATCCATGATATAATGAACCACTCAGCCAGCCGCTTTGTTGCAGTTTCACTTACAAACCTTCAGGGGCGTAATTATTCCAAAACATCAAGTCTGATGCATAACATCTCGGCTCATCACTCGGCTCCGCAGGCCCTCAATGTGCTGTATGATGTTGCCAACCACCAGTTGTTTGGTAAAGGCGCAATGACAACGGTGCGGAATGTGCCGATGCAAATGGGACCATTTGAAAGGAGAATGATGACCAGTTCCCTTCGTGTTGTCTTTGGTATCTTTGTCCTACTGCCCCTCATATTTATTCCCAGCAATACGGTTGCCTTCATCGTGCGGGAGTGTCAAAGCGGTGCTCGGCATCTGCAGTGGCTTGCAGGTGCCAACGTGTTTGCATTCTGGGCGAGTTCTATGCTATTTGATTTCTGCTGCTACCTTGTGACCGAGGCGCTGATGCTGGTAATTTTTGTTGTATTCGACCGCACAGAATTTATTGCGAATACTGAAACTATAGGAGCCACCGTAGCGCTCTTTACGTTCTTTGGAATTAGCAGTATTCCATTCAGCTACGTTGTCAGTTTTTTCTTCAGCTCTCCCTTTAATGCCCAGAGCGTTGTTTTCGTGATAAACCTTCTGCTGGGTTTCTTGTGGGTCATGGGAGAACAGAAGCTTCTCGCGAACAAGAACCTGGAAGGCGTTGCTACCTTCACCGCACACATCCTGCGTATCGTTCCGGCCGTTTCCTTAGGGGAAGGCACGTTTGCCTTGTCAGGAGTGCAACTGATGAAAATAATGATGCCAGGGATGCCGCTGCCAAGCTTATTTAGCTTTCTGAGTATTTCCAACGGCAAATTCAGAGGTGGCGTTGGGACCTCCCTAACCTACTTGTCATGCACCTTCGTCGTCTCACTCGTGCTGCTGGTGCTGCTTGAATACGCACGCATACAGCGTGCCACGTGGCTGTTTGCTCGGCTGTCCTGCTGTAAGGGGAGGAAGCCGAAGTCGCATGGCGACCACGTTGGCCCATCGGCCTCTTTTACTGACACGGAAGACAAACATGTGGCCAATATGAAGGCTGCCGATTCTGTTGCGTGTGAGGAGGAGGAGGTTTGCTGCCAGACGACAGGCCGAACTGAGGACGGCATCACGCTGCAGCACATCACAAAGAGATACACCGGTTCGGACAGGGCTGCCGTTGACGACCTCTCGCTTGGTGTCCACAAGGGCGAAATCATGGCCTTGCTGGGCTCTAACGGCGCCGGCAAGACGACGACAGTCAGTATTTTGGCTGGCGAGACGATCCCGACAAGCGGCTCAGCGTACATTAACCATCTTTCTGTCCTTCGCTCCGCCTCGCGCAGTTACGTCGGCTACTGCCCACAGAAGGATGCCCTTGTTGACAACTTGTCGCCGTATGAACACCTGAGGCTCTACGCAGGTTTGCGCGGCGGCAGTTCCGCATCCATCCACAAGGAGATCACCCAACTTCTCAATGTGTTGGGCCTCACGCCGCAGAAGAATGCCCCGGCCTACTCGTTGAGCGGCGGAAACAAGAGGCGTCTGTCACTTGCTGTGGCACTGGTTGGTGGCACCACCAGTGTGTTGCTTGATGAGCCTACGGCTGGCATGGACGCTACCGCACGCCGGAGAACATGCGCCGTGGTCAAGCGGCTGACGCGGGAAAAGTCTGTGATTCTTACCACGCACCTGTTGGATGAAACTGAGGCCCTCGCAGACAGAGTTGCTTTCATCTCAGGCGGGAGGTTGCAATGCGTTGGTACGCCACAGGAGTTGAAAAACCACTACACTGACGACGCCGTCTACACCGTGCGCGTGGTGTTCGCTGATGCGTGTGGCCCCATTGACGCCTCCAGCGACATCACGAAACGCCTATGTGCGTCCTTCCACATTTCTGCTTCGAGTGAAGGGGACGATTGCGTCGTGGAGGGCATTGCCGGTCGCACTGTGACGCTGTCGGTGCGGAACAGTCTCTTGCATATCTGCACCGTAGCCTCTGATATTCGCGAAGGGAAGGTGGCGGGGCTGCCACCGGTGGTTCAGGTGAGTGCGACGCAGCCAACACTGGAAGAAATTATGCTGACAATATGAGCTTCTTACGCAGTGAGTCACACCCACATACACACACAGATGGAGAGAGAGAAGGAAAGAAATGAGAGAAGAAAAAAAGAGAAGGAAAAGCACATGTGTGTGTGTGTGTGTGGCGGCAGGAATAGCACTAAAGGTGCGGTGGGAAAATGGACCGAAATAACGTGGGTCGCGGGAAGAAGCAATCATCGTCATCCATGACAGCAAGGGGGGTGATGGCGGCGGTGCGAAGGAAGAGTGAGTGGCCCCTTACAATATTGATTTGGGAGAGTAATTTTTTTCTTTTTTTTGGTTTAATATCACATTGGCCCTGAGCGGCACTGCACAAAGTTGCATTCAAAAAAAAAAGAGGCTGGGGAGGGGGTAGGTTGGTGGGAAGGCTCTTTGAATATGAGAAAATGTAGGAATATGTACAAAAAAAACAAAAACGAAAGACCACTCTCTCTCCGTGTGTGTGTGTGTTTGTGAAATGCGGCTGATGGTGAACGTCTCCGATGCCTTGTGCTGCAGGTGCGCCTGTGACCGCGGGGAGTGGCACCAGCGATATGTTGGGTCTATGCCTTTGGGCGTCGTGGTCGATCCTCCCGGGCGAGGGTCCAACGGCCGCCGGAGCGGAGACACATCAGTATTAGAAAGGGGGAAAGAAATAGCAAAAACGGTGGGAAAAAAGGGGGACATGTGTAAATAAATACGGTTTTTGTTTTTGGATTGTGGATCGTTTTTTTTTCTTCTTTTTAGATACGACTGGAAAGAGTCTTCGCCCAGCTGCAGTAGCGTAAATGATTGCGCTTTTTGCTCGTGTCCTCCTGGTTTATTTTCTTTTTGGTTGACCTGTTTTTTTAAAGATGCTGCGTTGGGAGGCGACGAAGGAAGTTTCAGGAGCATTCAAGGATGATGGTCGGTGCCCCCCCACCACTTAGCGCGGGAATGGACGGGGTCCTGCGCATCGTTTGCGGTGGCGCGTCCTCCAACACTTGCCACGTCTGAGTGGTTTTGACGTCGTTGGTGGCCGGTGGCGCGATCGATTGTGGGGTTACGATCTCGGTTGACTACGTGGGCCTGATCCTGTTGGACAGTGCGGACTGGAAACTGTGGAACGCTTTTGCGGTCATTGGGGAGGTGTGGGTTTTGGACACGCCGCACTGCCCGCAGTTTGAGGCGTCTTGTTTTGCTCCTTTTATTTGCGTGTGTGGACGCCTGGACGCACACCATGTGTGTGTCATGGGCGTGCAACGTCTTGCTCGCCACGGGTGTGGCTTTGCACGGTTGGAAAATGCTTTTTTCCCTCCAGCTGTGGAGGGCGTCGAGGTGGCAGAGGGGCATCGCTGCGGAGCTCCCGCAACTCTTCTCTCATGCAGGCGGAAGCACGGACGGTTCTTCCTGTTTTGTTGACGTGCGCCGAGTGTTTGGTTCAACGCATTGGCGTCTGCACGGGCAATGCCGCGTTGCAGGGTGACGCCACTAAAGGAGGGGACAACGCGTCTTGACGGGGCAATTGGACGTG